CTCGAGGGCCGTATCAAATGGTCTCGCGGACCGTATACGGCCCGGAGGCCGGAGGTTCCCCACCCCTGCCCTAATATCATCACACTTGTCATTTTACCTTGAATGCCATTGCTTTACATTTATTTTATTTTATGTATTGTTCTCATTGTTCAAAAGTTTGTGTTATGACTGAAACATTTGTCCAGGTTTGAAATACCTGTGGCCCCGAGTCTTGAAACCAAAGTCCTTATGGTGGTCTAGATGCCCTTCCATCTGCCTTTGGTTTTTCCCCTGCAGTGATGCGGGACAGAGACACTCAGTCTGTCCTTGTCTCAGTCTTAAAAATTGTCTACTCAAATGCATATTTACTGGTTGGGTTTATTCTTTTTTTTGGCGCATCATTAACAGGTTTGGCCATGCGGATTGGCTCTCGTGATGTTAGGTGGGTGCCGGTATAAAAAGAACTCGACCCTCAGATCACTTCCGCCGTGCCTCCCTGACCTGTAAAGTCTGACCTAAAGCCAAAGGTCATGTTTTTATTAAAATTAAGCTTTGTCTGACCAACAGAACAAAACTAAAACAAATTACAAACTCAAATTTGAGAAGCGGGAACCAGAAAATATTCAATATTTTTACTTGAATTATGCCTCGACTGATTTCTTAACTACAGAAATGGTTGGTGGTAAATTTTCTGTCAATTGAATAATCAGCTTATATACAGCGAGTGAGTGAAGGCTGCCTTTGTAAAGAGACAGTGGTTGCCGGGTAACCCTCTTAATATTATATTATTATTTATTATTATCTACTATTTTTACTTATCTACATCAGGAGTCACCAACCTTTTTTAGGTTGAGAGCTACTTTCAAAAAATAAAACAAGTCGTGAGCTACTTTTACTCCTCTTTTTTTGTGTTTTGCAGTGTATATATTTAGCACATTGTAACATTATGATATGCTGACCTTTAACCTTTGTGTGCTGTTTGGGTCTGTGGGACCCGTTTCTAGTGTTTACTAAAAGAACATGTACTCAATTTAATTATTTTAACCTGCTTTATTTGGGGGAAGACCTTCACCTCCTCTAGGGGGGGCCTCACCTCCTCTAGGGGGGTCCTCACCTCCTCTAGGGGGGAACTCACCTCCTCTAGGGGGGTCCGGGGGCATGCACCCTCGGGAAGATGTGTTTTTAAATGTTAAAGTGAAATGCATCAATCTGGTGCACTTTGAGCACAACATGAATGGATGGATACAGCTCTGAACACTCAGATGGAAGGGAGCTGTATACTTTTCAATGATCCAAACATCTTTAGAATATGATCACAACCAATAACAAATCACTCCAACTTGTTTATTTTATAAACTCCTCTCTCTTATGTTACCTAGTTAGCATTCTTTCTTTTTAGTTATGTATGTTTTACTAATCACTCCCCTTTTAAACTTTTTTTTTACTGTCCTATAGTACACATTGGAATGATTTCTTACTCACTCACTCTCTCACTCTCACAAATGGAATATCACAAAGTGTCACGGTCAAAATTAGGTTGAAAAGATGCGAGTGGTTCCCTAAGCTTGTTCCTACCCTGAGCAATGAAGTTCTTCTCAAACTTCTGCAGGAACTCCAGGTAGAGCAGATCATCCGAGGTGAGGGCTTCTTCTCCCACCACAGCCTTCATGGCCTGGACGTCCTTACCAATGGCATAACAGGCATACTGTAGACAGGAAGATAAAAAAATGTTATAGTGAAAATCACTTCAAACGATGGCGAAAAAAGAAATCTTGTTAAACATAATTTCTCCTCCATATATTATCATCAGCTTTTAGTTTAAATCTGATTTCTGTTAAAAGGAAAAACCTTGACTCCGGGTCATAGGATGCATTATTTATGTACAACAAGTGAGATGTGTTACCAGCTGGTTTGAAACGTCAGCGTGGTCCTTCCTGGTCATCCCCTCCCCGATGGCTGACTTCATCAGACGGGACAGTGAGGGCAACACATTAATGGGTGGGTAGATCTGAAAATCAGTAGGACATTTTGTGATTAATGTATTATTAATGCAGAATGTGTCAAAGAAACACTTCTCAAGTTGTAGCCCACAGCTAAATGACTGACTCCTCTGCAACTTTATTCTTCCCGTTTATAACTCTAAAGCATGACGGGTTCTGTTCCCAAAGAGAACAACTGTCCACTAATTGAAGTAAAACAAAGACTTATGGGGGAAGTGGATATTATTATTATTAGTTTCAGATTACTTTGTGTTGTAAAATCTAAATATCTTGACATTCAAAAGCTCAGAATATATGAACATTATGAATTCCTTGGCTATGGTCCTCTATCCATTCTTATTACCATGTTTGCTTTATTAAAAGGTTTGGAAAACGGCTAAGAATGGAATTGGTGTTACATTAGTTGATGCTCAAGTCCCAAAGATTGATTCTCCCCTCGTTAACTGACCCCACTATAGAGAGTGACTAGTGATCACTCCATGTATATATGTACATTTACAGCAAAATGAGCAGTACATCATGGGCATACTGGAAATAAGCTAACACTGAAAGCATCCAACCTGGAATCGAGATGGATGTGGGATGAATGTTGTTTTAAAGAGACACTTTTACAAAGAGCTGGTGAGTACCTGTCTGTTGTGCAGCTGCCTATCAACGTACACCTGCCCCTCTGTGATGTATCCAGTCAGATCAGGGATAGGATGGGTGATATCTGTTAGAGGCAAACAAATGTATTACATCAAAACATATACCCCATATAACTGTGCCTTTATCCTGCAGTTCATCACTGTCAACACTTTTATAAAGCCTCAATTAAGTTTACAGTGAAGAACCTTCTTTTGAGACAATTCAAATCATTCACAGATATAAAATAATGTGACACACACGGGACAGAATGTCTGTCAGCTTCCCCTTTTAAACACCTCAACTCTAAATCAAGAGCAAAGAGCTCTTGGGAACCGTGGCAGTGTTTAGTAAAAGCCGACAATCACCTCCCTGTAATGCTCGAATGGGGGACTCCTGTTCAACTAACTAAAAGTAGGCTCTTCATATGTGTTGCCATGGTTACTGCAAAGCATAAAAAAAGTCTCCTCAGTCTATTTGAGAAGCCCACTACAGTAATTAAATGAATGACTTCTGCAAGACCATACTGAAAAAAAAAAAAAAAAAAAAAAAATATATATATATATATATATATATATATATATATATAAACACTGCTTTGACAGCTTTGAAGATGTGATCTTGGTCCAACTCAAAGCAGAAAGCTCATCCCCTCTCACCGTCATTGGGCATGGTCAGAATAGGGATCTGTGTGATGGAGCCGTTTCTGCCCTCCACCCGGCCAGCACGCTCGTAGATGGTAGCCAGATCAGTGTACATGTAGCCGGGGAAACCTCTACGGCCGGGCACTTCCTCTCGGGCAGCAGAAACCTGAAGGGGAGGAGAGGGTGGTGGGTGAGTGAGAGCTGCAAGAACAAAAGCTAAGGGAACACTGCATGTACGTTTTCATCAATTCACCTGTGACTACTTGAGAACACAAGAACAAGCTGACAATAAAAGGGGAGTCATGATCATGTGCTGTGGCAAACATGTTGGCAAACTATTGTCCCACTACAAAATGATGAATGATTTGCCAAGATTCACCCTTTTAGCTCTGCATCAAGTCTTCAGGAGAATATGTGGCTCTTTAGCTGCTAAATGCTACACTCTGTTCACCAGCTATTAGGTGAGATGACTGCAGTAGGCTTATCAACTGAGTCCAAGTCAGTCAGCGAACCTATCATGGGTTAATGAAAACAGCAGGGGACAGTTGTTTCTAAAAACAAAAAATGGTGGCTGCCAGTAAACCAAGATTTATTTTGTTGTCTGAAATCAAGTATGCACTATTTAAATACTCCATGCAATCACTGTAAACTGCTAAACTGCCATAATAGAATAGACACTTTGGTCTGATCTAGAAGAGATATTCACTAAAGGAACACCTTGCACATTTCCCACAGTAAACTTTGGTTTATAGAAATACAAGTCTAGCCGTCCAGACCTATTGGGTAGACCGGCTGTAAAAAAGGGGAGGTTGATTAATTTCCAGTCATGATAATAGATATTTAATTTTTAAATCTAAAGTAAAAAATAATCTTGCTGAATAGATAATAAACTAAAAGCATTTACTGTAGGAGTCAAGTGACTCTTCTAGTAGGTTTCGCAAGAGGTTGAAAAGATTCCTTCTGTTTTCAGGTCTTCTACAAAAATGACCAAAGCAATTCCTTGTTCCCAAAGTCAAGTGAAACAGGAACAGAGGGAAAGAAAATGTGCCCCATTCATGATGGGATCCAAAGGTTGATGGGCAGGCTAAATACTTGTGAACTGTACAATCAACGCAAAAATCAACCTTCACATGCATGAATGGTACAGAAGATAAATGTTAATGTCCTCCTGGCTCTTTGTAGCTGCTCTAACACCCATCAAGCTGAAGAAGTCTTAGCTGAATGTTGCTGCTGTGTACATCTGCCAAGGTTATGAAGAGCGAAAGCAAGAAGGGACGTATGCACATGAACCATTTAAAACCTGCATTGTGCTGCCAGCGCCTTGAGACAGCCAACTGTACAACATAAAAGGGTTATTACAGAGACACAAAGGAGTGAGGGGGGGTTCTGACTCCTCACCACAAGGTGAGAGGAGGACATTGGCAGGGGGCATTTCCTTTAGAAGACAACGGGACAAAAATGAAGGGATGAATAAAGGACACATTATCTTCCCTTCAGCATAGAGCACAAGACTTGACTTAGTCCATCACCTTTGTGCTAATGCTGCAGAGAATTCACACTGGTGTGTTATGTTCACATGCTGCCAGTCCTGAGCATCATACTGGATATTGTGGACATGTGGGCTTTGTTAATTAAGAGACAGAAAACAGTGTCTCCTCTCGACACAGAGTGGAGCAGAGGAGAGGCCATTGAAGTGTCGGTACGAGAAAATGCTAGCGTGCTAACCAACTCTGTTTATAGCTGAGCTAGACAAGACCATTTTCAGTTAAATCGATGCTGTTTTCTCTTTATTGTTCTTTGTAGTTTGCTGTATGCCAAAGAGCCTTTCTGCTGACGGAGAATAAAGAGAGTTGTGTCAGTTTGACCGGGGGTTCAAATGAGCTATCTCTGAGATGGATCATATGAATGGTTTGTAATTTATATTAATATGGTTTTTCCATAGCCAGATACAGTCGGAGATATCTTGTAAAAAAAAAAAAAAAGGCCTGTCCTAAACATTCTATGTTTAAGGATTGAAGCACATCAAGCCTGGGATATTAAATGCAGTTTTAGGTACATAACAAAATGTTCAGCTGTGACTACATACAAATACTGAAACACATTGGGTACCTTCCTGTTGGTTTCCAGCAGGGCCTACACCAAACACACAACAGATATTCCGGATTGTAAAGTGCATGCGAGACAGATGAGTGGTTACCTCTCTGAGAGCCTCAGCGTAGGAGCTCATGTCGGTGAGGATGACCAGCACGTGCTTCTCACACTGATAGGCCAGGTACTCTGCTGAGGTGAGCGCCAGACGAGGGGTGATGATACGCTCGATGCTGATTGGTCACAGAAAAAGATCAGTTATTCTATTGTTCACAACAACTTGAGGAATTAAATGTGTTTCCAACTTGTCTTTTAAAGACTAGCGATACATTTAAGAATGTTAAGACGATAAACATAACGTAAAAAACATTTCAGAATCAATAAGTAAGCTAAACACTGTCTCATTGAGATCCTTTCTGATCGGATCTTACGTGGGGTCATTGGCCAGGTTGAGGAAAAGGCAGACGTTGTCCATGGAGCCATTCTCCTCAAAATCAGACTTGAAGAAGCGAGCAGTTTCCATGTTGACCTGACACACAAATGATACAAGTTAACGATACAGAGTCACCGTGAGTGAAAGATCTTCAACCATTTTCACTAATCGGAAGACTTTTTCAGACATCACATGCAACAACACCGAGGTACAGAGACTGGAAGGTGACCGGGTCAGGTCCATTCGATGCTCTGAAAATACCTTGATGTTAATTATTGTAGATGGCATTGTTGATTTGACCAGTTGCAGGAGAGTGTAATAGTTCATGGAGGGAGTGAAGGGAATTGACCCAACTGTGAAGTCCTACTGCTTTTTGAGATTCATAATTCAGTCAAATCTTATGTTATTGTGATTCTGTGCTTTTAAATAATGTAAGTGTATCCAGGGACCCTGGGCTGATCTGGCAGCTAAATCGTCAAGCTTTCTGTTGCAAATGAATATTCGATTAATCATAGGGATGCCACAGGTGTCATCAGCAGTGTTGGGACTAACGCGTTACTGTAACGCAACTACTTTTTGCGGTAACTAAGAGCTTTACTACACTGAACAAAAATATAAATGCAACACTTTTGTTTTTGCACCCATTTTCCATGAGATGAACTCAAAGATCTAAAACGTTTTCTATATACACAAAATAACCATTTATCTCAAATATTGTTCACAAATCTTAAAATATCTGTGATAGTTAGCACTTCTCCTTTGCCGAGATAATCCATCCCACCTCACAGGTGTGGCATATCAAGATGCTGATTAGACAGCATGATTATTGCACAGGTGTGCCTTAGGCTGGCCACAATAAAAGGCCACTCTGAAACGTGCAGTTTTGCTTTATTGGGGGGGTCTGGGGGAGTCCGAAAACCAGTCAGTATCTGGTGTGACCACCATTTGCCTCACGCAGTGCAACACATCTCCTTCGCATAGAGTTGATCAGGTTGTTGATTGTGGCCTGTGGAATGTTGGTCCACTCCTCTTCAATGGCTGTGCGAAGTTGCTGGATATTGGCAGGAACTGGAACACGCCGTCGTATACGCCGATCCAGAGCATCCCGAACATGCTCAATGGGTGACATGTTAGGGTTAGGGTTAAACTGACTGGTTTTCGGACCCCCCCAGACCACCCCAATAAAGCAAAACTGCACGTTTC